ATTTTTTAAGGTACGATTAAATCGTTCACAAATTGAAGCTTTTAAATTACTAAACGTGGAATATATATGTATTTTATATTTTTTCATGAGATTTTTAAAGTTTGAATTATAGAATTCTTTTCCTTGATCAACGTGTAAATTTTTTGGTACCCGCCCTTGATCCAGCACTGACTTCATTGCAGCTGCAACGTCTTCACCAGCAGTGGCGGATCCAGAATTTACTCCAGGGGGGGGTCATTTATAGATTCGGCGAGCAACGACCATAATTAGCTGACCTTTTTTTTCATGTAAATTTTTCGCCCCAGGGGGGGGGGGGTCATGACCCCTATGACCCCCCCCCCCCCTGGATCCGCCACTGTTCACCAGTTTTATTCTTCACAGGAACAGCCCAGGTAAATTTAGAAAAAATATCAATGACAGTCAAGATGTATTTGAATTCTTTATTTATTTTTGCATATGTATTCATTTCCACAAGATCCGCCTGCCATGTTTCATCAATTGCTCTAATATCGAATTTTCGTCTTGAATAATTTCTTCTGGATGGTTTGTGTAACTCCTTAACGAGAACTAACTTTTGATCATTCATTCTGTTTTCTAGTATTTTTTTCAAGTTCTCTCAAGTGCAATAATTCGCTTTTCAAAATCAGTAAAAATTTCTTTATTGAGAGATAACCATTCTACATTCCTCTCAATACCAGCTTTTAAATTGCTTAAATATTTAATTACAGAATCTTCCAATTTCGTACTTTTAATATTGTTTGCTTGTGTGTCAGATCTTAAAGAATCTAAAACCTTGTAGATTTCACTGACTTCAATGTTTATAAGTTTTTTTACAAGACTGTAGTTTGTTGCATCACCTTCATCTGAGGCTTCTGCCAGATTACATATCTTTTTATGTTCTATATCGAAATTTCCTTCAGATGTAACTTTAAATCCAATACCTGGAAGTCCACGAACTTGGTTTTTAGTTTTCTTAAAAAAACGTCCAAATACATCAAGAGACATTGTTCAACTAACACATTATCATCAGTGACAATCATTAATAAATAATGTGAGCCTCACGAAGTTCCTCAATAATGGATAGAATTTCGTTTGCATGACTTGAATTTCCAGCTTTTTGAGATGCTAATAGTAAACGTAATCTATCAACCAATTCATTTGGATCACCCCAGTATATATAATCTAATTTATTTCCTTCTTTAGCAAGCATATATTCTGGTAGTATACCTGTCCCGGTTGAACTTTGTCTTTTACTACTACCACTTTTTCTAGAAGGAAATAAAATTTTTTCAATATATTGTTTAAATTTAAAAGATGAACTTTCTCGAATATCACCATCCACCTTGTAGTGTTTTTTGTGTGCATTTGTCTTGAGTAGTATTGCTTTATAATTTTTCAGATCCTCTGCTTTCACTTCAGATTCTTTTGGGTTTTTTTTAAAAAGTAATTCGAGCAATCCTTTAATACTGGGAAAAACCAAAGCAACTACATGAATAGAATTCTGACTAAAATTAATTGAAGAGTCACCAACCATTAATCTATCTTTCGTTAATTTTCGTACACCGTATAAATTATCAATCTCTTTATTTCTTTGATTTAGTAGTGTCAAATATATTTTTGTAATTTCATCAGCTGCTGGAGATGAAGAGGCTAATGGCATTTCCTGTTCAATGAAAGAAACTGCATCTAAAGGTTCTTCATCTGCAAATGTTGCTTACTTAAATGATTCATCATTTATATTGTAATCATCATCATCATCATCATCATCATCATCATCATCATCATCATCAAAAGAATCATACAATTTTTCCTTTTTTTCAGTTTTCACATTTTTGCTTTTTTCCTTTTTAATACCATCAACCGTTTTAATAATATCGCAATATCTTTCTCTTTATTAATATGTTCTGTTCTTAAAGATGTCATCTTGATTCTACAAAGTCTTGAATACAACTAAAGCAAGATCATTTATAATAATTCTTTTTATGTACTACAGATTTTTATAAAACAGTCAAAACCCTTCCTGTATCTACCACAATTGAGTTCTCTATCATTGTCAATGACAACAAAGCCGTATTTTTCACTATTCCAACATGATGAACACAAGTCTTTAAACTGTGTGTATAACATGTCAGTATTTACATGATCATCGTAAATATGTTTCAGGTTAAGTTCATCCTGTTTGAATATAACTAAAAAATTAACATTGTCACGAATTAAATGTTTGGGAATACGTGTATAAGTTTGACAAAGATAAAAGCAATCAATCAGTCTGTGACCCATTGAAAAGAATTCCCGAATTCTTTCCTGCTTATCACAGGCTACATCGTCAAACACAACTGTTGAATTTTGTCGTGCTTCTTTCGGTTGTATAACTTCTTCATGATCTTGATATGGAAAGTATTCAATACCCTCAACTAGTTGTAGAGTCTTTTCTAAAAATTTGTACTTTGGTTGATTCAAGGATTTTGAAAAGATGTAAATATTTTCAAAACGTAGTCCATTTGGATGTAAGAGTAAAGCAAGAATTGCATTTGTTTTTCCACAATTCGATGGCCCACAGATAATTGCTCTCACTGTATTAGGTAATAAATTTCCATGTCGCTTTCTGTCTGATTTTTGTTTTGTTATTTTATCAAAATTAATGACAGGTAGTTTTGTTGATTGCGCTTTGAACTCCATCTTCTTGCGTACTGAGGTAAAAAACTGTATAATAAAGTATAAATACCCTATTTTAAACGTTTTTAATTTAGTCTCTGAACGATCATCGAGTGAATATAATCATGGTTGTCAAGAGAAATGCAACTAGTCTTCGAAAGACAGTGAAACGTGGTAGAGGTCTCCTCAACAAAATTATCAGCAATTTACCCATTGAACTACATTTACCTGGTTATCAGTATTGTGGACCTGGAACGAAATTAGCAAAAAGATTGGCACGCGGTGATCCTGGTATCAACCCTCTCGATCAGGCTTGTAAAGAACACGATATAGCTTATTCTCAAAATAGGGATAACCTTGAAAATAGACACGCAGCAGACAAGATTCTCGCTGAAAAAGCTTGGCTTCGAGTACTAGACAAAAACGCAAGTCTTTCTGAAAAAGCAGCAGCTTACGCGACAGTAAACGCTATGAAAATGAAAACAAAATTTGGAATGGGACATAAATCGAAAAATATAAAAAGGAAAAAGAAGAATATTAAGAAAAAGAAAAATAAGGCAGTTTTCCCATTGAGAAAAATTATAATGGCAGCAAAGCAATCTATTACACCTGGTAATGATAATACACCTTCAGCTATTAAGTCAGCGCTAAAAGGTGCACGTGCAGCTCTAAAAATTGCAGGTGGAAAACGCCGAGTAAAAAAACCTAGAGTTTTACCTGTGCCAAAAAAAGTAGGTGGTTTTTTACTATTTCTTATACCGATTTTTGCCGGTCTTAGTGCAGTAGAGGCTCTATCTGGTGGAGCTGCTGGAATTGCAAAGGCTGTTAATGATGCTAAAGCTGCTAAAAAACAACTTGAAGAAAGTCAAAGGCATAATCAAACAATGGAATCTATAGCTCTTGGCAAAGGACTTTTTCTTAAGCCATACAAACAAGGGTTAGGATTAGAATGTTCTGCAAAAAAAAATAAAAAAAATTTTTAAATTACCAAATCGTGCACTAACGAATTTTGATTTATTCAAATACTCTAAATTGTTGAAAATTTCTTACTTTCGCAGTGTTTTTATGCGTGATGATTTGGCAACTGAAGGACCATACAAATACGAATCAGCAATAATTAATTTAGACAATAAAGATAGTCATGGTACACACTGGGTTGCTTTTAAAAAAAGAAACAATGATGTAATATATTTTGACAGTTTTGGAAGTCTTCTACCTCCAAATGACCTGGTAAAATATTTAAAGGTTAACATTATAAAGTACAATCACATTAGATATCAAAATTATAAAACTTTTGTATGTGGTCATTTGTGTTTGAAATTTCTTTGCAATCAATTGGATAAAAAAAGTGCTTTATCTTTATATATAGATGAGCATTAGAAATTATTACTCAGTTTACATTTAACCAGCAAAAATGAAAGATTCAATAACATTAACCTTGTCTGGAAATTCTTCAATATTAGAGGCACAATATTTTCCACCGATTGAATTATCACCAAATAAAAATTACGCTTTACGCCTTGTTGAATTTTTAACCTTTAACTCAATTCCGAATGTAGACATTGGACAAAATAAATTTTATATTGATAAAGAAGTAGTTACAATACCAACTGGTAGCTATGAAATAAGTGATATTGAACATTATTTGCAAACCTTCTTAAGTTCCAAAGGTATAAGACTGGCAATCAAACCCAACAATAATACTTTGCGCAGTGAAATTCTCTCTAATTGTGAAATAAATTTTGAAAAACCTGATTCTATTGCACAATTATTAGGATTTAAACCACAAATTCTTGCACCAAACATATACCATGAATCTGACTCACCAGTTTCCATTATAAACGTTAATTCTCTTAGAATTGAGTGCAATATTACCACAGGTGCATACATCAACAATCAAAAAGTACATACTGTACATGAATTTTTTCCAAGTGTACCAGCAGGATATAAGATTGTTGAAGTGCCATCTCAAGTCATTTACTTACCAGTCGTAGTAAAGACAATTGATCATATTCAATTGCGAATAGTTGATCAAGACGGACATATTGTAAATTTTCGAGGTGAAAAAATAACTGTTCGATTACACATTAAATCTCTTTAAATAATGGGGATTGTATTTAATAGAAAAAAAATTATTGGTTACGGATTTAAGAAGACTGCAGAATGTCAGAAACAATTCAGTTACAGATCTTCAGTCAAGGTGTTAACACCTCAAAACATTCAATTATTGAAGAGTCTAGGACTGAAAGTGATCGGAGAGAAAAAACGAAGAAGAGAATAAAAAGAATTAAATTCGTCTGTTTCTGTTTTTTAATTTTTAGACGACTTAATTTCTGCAAAAAAAAATGGAAGACGAAGTGTTGAGTATTGCAAAACCAATTGTTTTCGATGAATCTATTGCTCACTGTGAGGTGCATGCTCATTTGCCATATGCCTCGTCAACGTTAAATAGCAGCGATGAAATTCGAATAGCAGTTCAGAATCAAGATCACTGCCTTTTACCAGGAAAAAGTTCGCTACACATTCAGGGAAAATTGGTAAAAAACGATGGGACACCTACTAACAATACCAGATTCATTATAAATGGTATTTGTCATTTATTTGAGGAAGCACGCTATGAGTTAAATGCTGTTGAAATCAATAAATGTAAAAATGTTGGACTGACGAGTGTTATAAAAAATTATGTTTCAATTTACAGCAATCAGAGTAAATTTTTAGAAAACGCAGGTTGGTTTCCAACGTGTACTGAAAACACCTCTCTTACTGATAATAATGGTAATTTTAACATCGTAATACCTCTAAGCTTAATATTTGGTTTCATTGAAGACTATCAAAAAATTATTGTTAACGCTAGACAAGAATTAATTTTGACAAGAGCAAGAAGTGATGTTAACGCAATTATGCAAACTGCTGAAGAAAAAGTGAAAATTTCTATTACTAAAATTGAATGGCTATTACCCAATGTAAGATTATCGGATGCCAGAAAATTCAAGTTACTCAAGTATATTGAAAAGGATCCACTCATTCCAATTAATTTCCGAGCATGGGAATTGTATGAATATCCATTACTACCAACAACAGCGAATCACGTTTGGACTGTCAAGACATCAACACAATTGGAGAAACCTAGATTTGTTATTCTAGGTTTTCAAACAAATCGAAAAAATGTAACCACGCGAAATGCAAGTTGTTTTGATCATTGTAAAATTACAAATGTAAAACTATTTTTAAATAATCAGTGCTATCCTTATGGTAATCTTAACATTGATGTGGATAAAAAACAATATGCAGTGCTTTATGAAATGTATACAAATTTTCAAGCTAGCTATTATTACAGAGAATCTCAACCGTATTTAACAAAAAACGAATTTCTTGAATTTGCTCCACTAATAGTGATTGACTGTTCAAAACAAAATGAATCCCTAAAATACGGCCCTGTAGACATTCGTCTTGAATTTGAGGCAAAAGAAAATTTCCCTGCACAAACTGCTGCCTATTGTTTAATTTTGCATGACAGAATTGTAGAATATCGACCAATTAGTGGTGGGGTGATAAAAATTATATAAATATTTTAAATTGCTAATTTAAGAGTCAGTTGTCTGCAATATGGAGTACGATGTGGATGTTCAAGGTTTCAAATTGACTCCAAATGAATTTATTGTCAAAGAATTGGTTATTTTACCATTAAATGAAAAAGTACCACGTCCATACAGTTTTTTATTTCAACCACCTTGTGATTGGATGGACATTCCACCTGATTGTAAACGATTAAACAGATGGTTGGAAAATAATTTACATTGTTTAACATGGACATCTGGTGACGTTCCTTACAAATTATCGTCTGCTATAATTGAGAATATATTTAAAAAAGCTGAGAAAATATATGTGAAAGGATTGGAAAAGAAAAAATGGCTAGAAAATTTTGTAAAGAAAACAACAAGTATTATCGATATGTTGGATATGAATTGTCCATCATTACACCAGCTACTACATGAATTATGTAATATGAAACCGTGTAATCACCATGAGAATAAAATAAATTTAGAATTTGTAAGTTGCGCTTTTCGAAATGTTAAATAACTGTCAGCTTGGTTAAATAAGAATGAATAGTGTAAAAATCTATTGTTAAAAAAATTCGATGAATATTAATTATAATATCCAAAAAAGAAACAAATATTTGCTTGATTTATATTTACTTTTATTACTTTATTTAACTATTTACCATAAAACTAATAAATGTATAAAACTATTTTATGCTTTTTTCTAATAAATAATTGAAATTATTAAATTGGTGTATAATTTATTTACAATCATCCTGTTTAAAATGGGAAATTAGAAAAATATGAAGAGAAGTAATAAAAAGAATGAAGAAGAAGAAGAATCCTATACATTCCATTTTATGCTGAAGCTTGTAGGCTCTTGAAGCAGTGGTGAAACGCCAGCGTGAGTAGAAGGGTTCATGAAGCGGGGGACGAACGCATGGAGCAAAGCATTGCCTACAGGCGGTAGCGGAGTGAAAGGGGAGGCCAAAGAAGCTGAGGAAGCGGGGAAAGTTCGAAGAGACTGACTGCCTCAACAGTGTAGCTCTACTGTATATACACGGAAAAAAAAATCAGCCTAATAATGCATGGAGTCTATTGGTTCGATTTTTACATGAGCCCATTTTGCAAATATCACACTAAATATTACTAAAAGTGCATGGCTCGTGTGACTTTTGTTACAGAACCATGCGAAAATAGGATGGATTCCAAGCTAATCACGCATGGTAGTGTGCGTGCAATATACACAACAGACGCTCATGTGTTTTTAGCCTAGTATTTTTTTCCGTGTACACAGTCTACTATTACTACATGTGTCGCAGTAGTAGTGTACGGCTGCTCTACGCGCTATTCTCACACTCACTATGTTACTTTGTATATATTATCTCCAACATTTTAAAGTCAATTTATATTTCATCTCTTATATTATTTAAAATCAAATTAATATTCTCTATATTTAAATTCACATTAATTATTTTTTAAAAATTTATAATTTATTCTTTAAATTCTAGGGGAGAGTCTCCAGTTGTGAGACGGGTTTTATTTTTGACCCGTAAATTGTAAACGGGTAAACGAAATTGTAAATAAAATACATCCTTCGAAAGGTAACAAAAATACGCAACTTTTATTAAAAGAAAGTATAGTGTTTCGATAAACTCAAAAAATTTTACGTTACATTTTCCAAGCACATCGCTTTTTTCAAAAAAAAAAAATGTCTCCAGTTGTGAGACACTCATTAAAAATTGCTAAAATTTAATAAGTTTAACATAAAATGTTATGATTAGTAGAAATAATTAAATATATTAATAATATATATTATTATATACTAAATAATAATATTTATTCGCCAAAATATGACTATCAAATAAACACAATTAAATAGCTTCAACAAGAGCATTAAAATTGATTTCTTCTGAATCAATTGGCTTTTCCACTTGACATGCCCAAAAATACTAGAAAAAAAATCAAAACAACATTTAAATAGTATGCCTGCAAAGTCGTATTTTTTATGCTGCCCAGATGGGTGTCGACACCGTCTCACAACTGGTAATATGCTGTGTCTCACACCCAGAAATTGGCGCTATTTTGAAAAAGGAAAATTAAATTATCTTCAACCGTAGATTGAAACAATGCAATATTGCATCACAAAATATAAGGAAAACACTAAAAGAAAATGCATTACATTTACCTTTTTCAATTAATTAACTTGGAAAAAAAGTACTTTGCATTTATTGAAAAAACGCTTTTTAGTCTATTATCACACACGGTGTTGGTATTTAACAAAAACAGTTTATATATCCGCTTCGGCGTACACGAAAAAGTTGGCTCATATAAAAAGAAATGTTTTTATATAAACCAGTCGGCTTTTTAATATTGCATGTTAAAAAAAATTGACTGTCTCACAACTGGAGGTGTCTCACAACTGGAGACTCTCCCCAATAATTTTTTATTGTATAATTCTATTTATTAAGTTTCATAAACTTTGTAAAATTTATAATTAATTGTTTAATTCTATAATTTATTCTTATTTATATAATTTTTAGGTTAATAAATAAAATTTTATAAATAATATTAATTCTTCACTGTTTTTCAATTTAAAAATATTTATTGTAATATATACTTACTTTTAAATTTTTTGAAGTTTTCTTTACTCAATCCTTTAAGTATGTAGTAGTAATAGCAGTGACAAATATCAAGAATAATAAATATAAAAAATAAAATGATTGAAAATTAAATTTTAAGCTTTCCTGAAAAAATTTAATTTTTTGAACGATGATGACGATGGTGATAACAATGATGAGAAGCGAATGGAATAAATTATTATTAAAAATTTCTATAGGATATTTTATCATTTTTTTCTTTCATAGATAATTAAAAGACATAATCAAGATTTTTTTACATTATTTATTTATTTTATAAAGTGTATCAAATTGTTTTTTGAAAAAAACTACAATTTCTGAAATATTTACACTTTTTAAAGCAAAAAATTAAACATTTTTAAAGCAAGAAATTAAACATTTTGAAAAACAAAATTATACTTTTTAATATTTAAAAAAAGAAAATTTAAATTTAAAGTTTTATTAAGAAAAACCTTTAAATTTTAAACATTTTTTTTAAATATAACAAATTCAAAATTTTTAAAGCATTTTTTTAAAAATAAATATGTTGTTCTCTTTTACAAGACGAGTGGTGATTCCACCGTTGATAGTAATGATATTTATATCATAAAGATCACTTCCAACATTACTCATATTATAAACTGTGATCGCATTATTACATATTTCCAACATAGAATTTCGTTCCATGCAGTAAATCCACTCCACCGGAATTTTAATGTTGTGTGCAATGCGTATATACTCCGATCTGAAACAAAGTAACAAAATATTTCTTTGAAATTTATTCCAAAAACTTTTATTTTTAAAAATGATTGAATATTTGACCAATTAATCTTTGTGCAAAGCAAATGAAAAAATTCTTTAAAAAATTGATAAATGTTCTTTTTTTAATTTTTTTCTACATTAGAAAAACAAACAAAGTTCAAATATGGACAAACTTTTTTTGTTTTTAAACAAAAAAAAAGAAAATTTTGTTAAAATTTTTTGTTTTTAAACAAAAAAATTGAAAATTTTGTTAAAAAGTTCAGAAAAAATAATTGAAAATTTTGTTAAAAAGTTCAAAAGAAATATCCTTGTTTTAATTATTTTGCTTCCTCATAAAGGAAGCCTTATAGTGATGTCGATTTCCGAATTTTTTAGAACCAATTATTTTTACAAATTTTCAAGTGTAGTATACATATATATAGCCTTATAGTGATGTCGATTTCCGAATTTTTTAGAACCAATTATTTTTACAAATTTTCAAGTGTAGTATACATAATTCGTCGAGAGGAACAAATGTCCGGATGTATGTGTGTGTGTATGTATTGTTACGTGAAAAGTAACTTACCTCTTAACATTTGTTATCCTCGTTTTAAATAAGAAATTCCGAAGAAATCTTATTTGGGAATGAGGAAAAAGAATCAATGAATAAAAGTTAAGAATTAGTTAAAATGAAATTTATTATAAAATAGTATATAATGATTTCTTGAAGTTCTTTATTTGTATGTTGCCGAGAGAAGACCAGTTCCAATAAACACCTTTAACAAATAGGCGTTTATTAGATATAGAAATTGTATCGAAAGAATATGATGAAAAGATTTAGTTAATTACCTTTATTGCTTCTTTGTGAAGTTGAAAACCCGTTCTCCGCTCGTGCGTCCACAGTCAGTTCAGATGCACCGCCTTTCCAATTTTTACTGCTTGGAGATTTGACAACGGGTTGGTCTCACACGAGATGGGTATTACTTAGACTGGGATAATCGTAGGTAACGAGTAAAGATTCGCACTGACTACTGGTACAGAGATGATGTCGATCGGTTTGATTTAAATTAGATACTGACTGGATGCTGACTAGATACTGACTTTTGGATCCAAATTTAGGGCCTTATATACCCAGATCACATCCGTGTATCGACGTAATAGGGTTGTAAAAAGATTGCTCATCGATGGGTGTTTGTCAAGTTTGCTTGGTAACAGGTCTGGTCTAAGGTTACTTAGAGGTCACACACGTGGCATGTGACACCTCCCCTCTTAATTCAATCGCACAATTGAAAATTTGCGATTGAAGCTTCGGCAGAAGATTTGTCTAAAATTCTCGATATCGTAATACATAAGGTTAACTTTCTTTTAAATCGTAGAATCGTAGAAAAAGAATTTCAAGAAAACATTATTCTTGTGTTCATTGTGAAGAACAAAATATTTTAGTAAATCGTAGTACAATATGTTTGTTTAACATTATTGAGTAAAATCGTTTTAACATTATTTGTTAATTGAAAAAGTTTTGAGTAAGTCATAGAAAAATTTTGCATAAATCGTAGAACATTTTTGAAAAACTGTGTAAATTGAAGAACAATGATCGTAGAAAAAGAAAAATTTTGTTTAAATCATAGAACAATTTTTGAAAACATTTTGTATAAAAAGAAAAATTTTGTTTAAATCGTAGAAAAAATTTTTTGTTTTTTTTTTTTGAAATAATTTTGTATAAATCGTAGAAAAAGAAAAATTTAGTTTAAATCGTAGAACAATTTTTGAAAAATTTTTGTTTAAATCATAGGACAATTTTTGAAAAAATATTTTGTGTAAAATAAAGTTGTTTAGTAATTGTTAATTAAAAATAATTTGTTTAATAATATTTGTTAATATTTTTAAATTGTTCGTAGAACATTATTTGTTGTACATTATTCTTTTTTTTATTTTAATTATTCAAAGTACATGATTATTTGTTAATATTTTGCAAAAAGTTTTAAAATTATTCGTGGTCTATTATTTGTCATTGAGTTGTACAATAATATAATTGTTCAATGTACATAGTTTATATTAAATGATTGAACATAATTTTTTTATATTTTATACATTATTTTTATTATTAGTCGTAGGAAACTAAGTATTGAAATCAAATCGTTAAATATTATCTGTTAATAACTCATAGAGCATAATTGCTTCACAGTGATTGAGTAAGATTTATTTAATATTAATTGTTCATATTTCTTGTTAAAATATTTATCAAATTGTAGAAAAGATTTTAAAAAATAGAAGGTTTATATATAATTTTTCCTTCTTTTTTTTTTATTTCATAAAGTCACTATTATAAGATTATTCGTAAAGAATAGTGAGTTTATGATTTTAATTAATTATCCTTTATGTATATATATTTTTTGTTTTGTTATTTATTTAATATGTACTTATTATTTTTGTTTATCTAATGTTAAATTGAGAATAAATTGTTTTCTTCCCAAACTATATCTTGTAGTATTACCCTTAATTCGATGTAACATTGCCTACAAAATAATGATCTTCTTACTACTTTGTATAATACTTCTTTGCATCTAAAGCAATCTAGGCTTATATTTGCACATGCTATTAAATGATCGTCTTGTCTCATCTCTAATTCATTGTCGAATAGCGGATAACAATCTTCGCAATATATTAACCCTTGTTGTTTGATAAATGTGTTTTTGGTTGTGATTTTTCTACAACATATATGTCGTATTAGTTCGTTATATAGTCTGTCTTGAAAAGCTGATCTAATAGGAGCTAATGTTTCGCTTTCATAAAAAGTTTGGTTTTCTGGAACCATTTTTTTTTTAATCAATGCTTTTCGAAGAATAGTTTAAAAAAAAATTTATATATAAGCAAAAAAAATTTATTTTTTTATAACTTTCTTTAAAAGATTTAAACATATATTATTGATATTTTTATTGAATTCTGAATAGCGCTATAATTATTTCTGTTAAAAGTGTTATTAAGGTTATATATGTTATTTCTGAAAAATTTTTTTATATTGTTTAAATGTTGTATTTGAAATTTTTGGAAATTCTGGTATATAATTAATTATTAAAGATTTTGTTAGGTTATTTGGAATGTTAAGAGAATTTAATAAAAGTGGCTTATCTTCTAATTTATTACTTTGAATATTTAATTGTCTTTTATATGTTATTTTATATAAGGGATTTATTTTTAAGAATCTTCTTCTTGTAAGATATAAGGAATATAATTTGACATAATAAATGGATTTGTTTTTACTAAAGGAATTTACTAAATCCATGTATTATGTTTTTCTTTATACAATCGTTTTATCAATTTCAAAATTTATTTAATAATTGCATCTCTTGCTACTTGTAGATAAGAACATCAAAAAATTAAAAACATTTATTCTTGTTATTAAATTTTAGTTTTGCAGCATTATTAAACAAAAAATTTGTAATTATTTTTATTTCTTTCTGTTTTTATTTGTTTAACTATAGAAATTGTAAATTTAAAAAAAAATTTAGTTTGATAAAAATTTTAATCTTTTATTTACAAAATATCTGTGTAAATCTAGAGGAAGGTATTTTTAATACAGAAAATGACTTTGCAAAGAATTTTTTAAAGAATATTGGATCCCATAATCATTTGGAAATATGAATTAGTTTTAGATATGAGTTTGTATTTCATGTGAATCTCAGAAAAGATAAATTTATCGGTAATTATCATTTTCAAAATACATTCCTCCGAGGTGAGGAATATGGGTGTTGCTAAATAAGGATTGGGAAAAATAGAAAAAATATATGATTAGTACTCCTGTTGAAAATATATGTTCTGCTTCTCAGATCTGAAACGAGAAAAAATTATATTAGATAATTGTTTTATATTTGTTAAGTTAAGAATTAATTTTTGATTTCTTTAATCTATTAATATGAACTATTAATGGTTTTCCCTTAAAGTTAATTTTTACATTACCTTTTCCTAATATTTCTAAAATTTCATAAGGACCTGAGTATTGGTTTGCTAGTTTTTTAATTTTTCCTCCGTTTAATAAAAATACAAAGTCTCCATTTTTTATTTCTAGGGGATTAATTTTTCTATCATGATAAAATTTCGATTTTTCTTTTGCTGAAATTAAATTTTCCCTTGCTTGTGCTCTCATTTCGTGTAATTGTGTAACAAAGGTAGTTAAATATTCATCGTATGTTTGTAATTTTTCGTTTTGAGAAGGAGGTTCGCTAGAGGGTTCACGAGCTAATTTTCCAAAAACAAGTTCGTATGGTGTGCATTTTGTTCCTTCGTGTATGCTAGTATTGTAAGAAAACATTGCTAATTCTAACCAATCGTCCCATTCAGAATTTTTCTCAATAAATTGTTTTAAGTATTCTGCTAAAACATGATGCGAACGTTCGAGTGATCCGTTAGATTGAGGGTGAAAAGCTGTTGTACGAAATTGTTTAATTCTAAAACGTTTTGCTAATCTTTTTAATAAATTGCTCAAAAAGTCTCTTCCCTGGTCTGTTAGTACGCCTTTAGGTGAACCGAATATGCAAATGAATTTTTTCACGAATGCGTCTGCTATTGTAGCAGCTTGATGATTAGGTAAAGGGATTGCTAAAGAGTATTTTGTGAAGTTATCTTGAATTGTTAAAATGTACGTGTTGCCAGATTTAGTTGGAGGGTTAAAAGGTCCTACAATATCCATAGAAATTTTTTCAAAAGCAGTTGTAGGTGTGTCTGTGATAATCATTGGATTTTTAGTTTTTACGCGAACTAATTTCTTTAATTGACATTGTAAACATCCGTTTATGTATTTTTGAATATCTGTTTTTAAATTTTCCCAATAATATTTTTGACGAATTCTAGCTAAAGTTTTTGTTACTCCCTTATGGCCTCCGATTGCCGATGAATGATTTTCTTCTAATATCTGTTGTCTAATTTCTTTGTTAGGGTATTGCGTAATCCCATTACAAATTATAAATTTTGTTTTAGATTTTGAAAAAATATCTTGAATTAAAATTTTAATTTCTTCCCAAGGAATGTGATTAATTTGAGATGTTTTTGCTATACTAATACTGCGAATGTTTAGTTTATCACTAATTGAAAGTAAAGAGTTAAAACATGATTTGATTGTATTTAGAGTATCAGTTAAGTTTTCTTTGACATTTTCTTGAATTGGAAGTGCAAAATGATAATATTTTCCCTTTTTAAATTCTTTTACTAAACCTTTTTGTAAATTATTAAATTTGGGTAGAATTGATTTTTTTGTTAAACTTTTAGATCCATTGTCGAGAGGGGTACCGTTAGTACTTACAAAATATAAATAATTGTCTTTTCGCATTGTTAATTGGTCACGACATTCTATCAAAATTTTATTACTCGTAGATTGTTTTTCTTGAATAGGAGGTGCTTGAGAAATTTCTTCTTTTCTTCTTAGATTACGTCCTTTGTCTTCGTTATTTTCTTCAATTTCACTTTCTTCTTCTTCAAAAATTTCTTCATTAAGGGGATTTTTAATTGTGTCGTCATCTTCTTCTTTATGAGATTCTTCATCGAGGGATTCTTTGAATATGTCGTCATCTTCTTCTGAACTATCATCTTCTGTGGATGAAAAGTAATTTTCATTGTCTTCATTTGGTTTTTCTTGAATTACGATTTTGTTTTTCTTCTTCCCCTTTGTCTTTTAAGTCGTTTATTTCTTCTTAATTCATCGAAGTATTCTGGATCAGTTTCTTCTTCAGCTTCTGAGATTGGCTTCTTGTCTTTCCTCGGCCTTCCTCTTCTTTTGGTACCAACCTTGTCTTCTTGTATGGGAAGTTTATTTTTTAATTTTTTTGGACGACCTCTTGATCTCTTGATAATGGGCTGCAATATTTCTTCTACGTTTTCCGTAAGTTTTTCTTGAATTCCCCTTTCTTCTAATTTTCGTTGTGCCCTAGTGAGAATGGTTTTCCATTGCGTTTTCGTAAGTATTGGGTCAAGCAAAGAAGTTAATAAGAGTAATAATGTAGACGTATTATTATCACTATCGCGAATATTTTCACTTGATTTTTTATTATCCACGAATGTTAAAAATGTATCATCGTCGAGCACCTTTTGATTCCTAAATAATTCTTCTTCGTTAGGAATTGGATTTCTTGAAAGAGCGTCTGCATTGACGTTCATTTTACCTGCCTTGTACACTACTTCATAGTTATATTCTGCTAATTTTAATCTCCAACGCGAAACACGTGAACAAGGATCCTTCGAATTTTGGAACCATACTAATGGTTTATGATCAGTTACTAAAGTAAATTTTCTACCGTATAAATATGGTCGAAAATGAGATACGCAAAAAATAATAGCTAATGCTTCCTTCTCGTATGTGTCATATTTCTTTTCCGTATCGCTTAAGCTTCGAGATGCATATGCAATAGGCTTGTCTTTTCCTATTTTCCCTTGTGAAAGTATTCCTCCAATCGCGTAACCTGATGCGTCTGTTGTAAGCACGAAGGGTTGGGAAAAATCTGGTCTTTGTAAAAGAGGTTCTTCGCATAAATGTTGTTTTAATGTGTCAAAAGCTAATTGTTGTTTGTCTGACCAAATAAAAGGTGTATCC